TGCAAACCTAACAAGATGCAACATGCCCCAGAGCACTTTCAGTACAGAGTGTAAAGCCTATTTGCCTAAAAATCTGTGAGCTAGCTAAACAGTTTTCATTAGATATAGATAAAAGTTAAGATGTTCAAGGCCAGAGAAAAGATGCAAAAATGCGATATGGAATTTACTAATGATGAAACAGAATAAAATACCTTTTGTTGAGGCTGACACAGAGAAACAGTGAATGCAAGAACATTCAACTACTTGAACTGCTTTTAAAAAAGCAGCATGGAAAAGAACAGAATACTTAAATGTTTATCTGCATTTGGACATTTTTTTTTTGAAAATAAAAACTTTGCCTCCTGGACAGCTAATATAGCATAATTCCCAAGTCATCAGCCCTTCTAGACATCTCACTCATGTCCAAGGTTCTCAGTTTTCAGTGCTGCAAGAAGCATGTCAGTCAAGCATCAACCCCATCTTCCCACAGAACTTGTGGGATTATTTTTGGGAGTACAAACACAGGAGAGATAAGTAAGCTGTCATTTAGACCATTATGAAATCTATCATCAAATGGGACAATATTCTAAAATTAAAACCTTTCTCTTCTCAGTGTAAGAAAGCTTTGTTAAAACCTTCCAGCACATCAGAAAGATTCTGGGATAACATTTTGAACTTCTTTCATGAAAAAGAATTGGAAAACTTGCCATGTGGAAAGGCCATGGACTACTCTCTGAAAACATTCTGCTGCCAAAACCCCCTGGGATTTAAAATCAGGTCTTGAAGCACTCCTAGCTGAAATGTATGATTTGAGAGAGGTCCTTTCTCTAGTTAGAGCTTACACTACAAAAAGAAGAAAGATTAATCTAATGTTGAAGAGGAAAGCAAAATTACATTTTAAAATCGCTTTTCAAAAGAGATGATGGGGTCCTGTCCACTGGCACAGTTGGAATACCATAGAATAAACACACCACTACACGTACAAAAGCAAGTAATCTTACATAGGCAAGGAGCGAGTCTATTCTGTTCCAATCACTTTTCTCTCAAGAAATATGTTTTGACTGAGAGCTTTGGCTCTAAATCACTAAATCATGTTTGATTTGTAAAAATGCAGAACATTCTTTGCAATTTCTTTCAGTCTTACAAAATCTCAGTAACATACCTGCATCCTATTGCATTCCTTCTTTTATTTCAGGACACTAATTTCAGCTTCTGGAAAAGCTACTTGTGCTTTCTATCATGATACTCCAAAGTACTCAGAATTAGTAATTTAATCTCTATCCAGTCTAAAATGGCCTACTAGAGAAATCTCAGCTTAATAAATTATGTATAAGAATTCTCTCTTTTCTGTAGTGTGTGCGATCACGTGAGCTATAACATCATTTTCAGCTGCAGAAGAATGAACTGAGAAAATACACTGTGATACAACCCAGTGTAAGTTAATATTGGTCACAAAGCTCATACACATGGAAAGAAGCAACTGCAAAACCAGAACACTTACAAGCGCTGCCAAAGGCCTTTCACATTCCTGAAAAAGGAATGTGAAACTTGCACCTCCTCACAAGCAAAAGACAATGACAAGAAGCTATCATGCAATCCAGTCTGGAGACCCAGTTGGAGGGGAAAACCAGATCTCCATCCAGCCTGTGAATCCTGATGCCCTCCAAACCTGCAATATTTCTTTCATGTAACATATTTTCTGTAAGGGTGTTTGTCACTTGACTATCCCACACCCCCCTGATTCTCTCTGAAATTCCAAAAATTGAAAGAAACATTAAGTTAACCTGCTTCAATTTCACCACACTGTTATAGCAGGAAGTGCTCTGAGAAACCCTCTATCTGCTTCCTTTCAGCTGCAAAGCCCTTGAGTCCAACATACAGCCACCTGCAGCCACAGACTGCACTTCCAGTTTCTTAAGATGGTGGAAAGAGATGCAGCAGATGATTCTCCCCCTGCTCCCATATTAAGATGAAAATTTCAATGACTGGCAGCAGAAAAAGTTAACAAAAGGTCTCCCTTCTCTTCCCCTTTAGGAAAAAGAAGAAGTTTTCCAAGTCTGAGCTCCAGTCAGAGATAACTAGATAGCTAATAATTTCAGGAGGGATTTTAGTCACTTGAGGAAACTGATCAGTTTTAGAAAAGAGGATATTTCACTGGTGTTTGTGAAGAAAGTGAGTGAAAGGAAACTTTTCACAGCACAGACAGGGACAGTAATGACATGACAGGGACAGAGCACTGGAAACTTTTCCCTTGGCCACAAAGTCTTTAAACAGGCAGTAACATTTCATAACTGCAGCCCTGTCCTAGGAAGGGTATAAAGGGGATACTGGACAAAAGTTTCCTGCCCCCCCAGCTCAGCTCAAACCACATTCAGGATAAGCAGGAAGAACACCACAAGGAATAGAGGGAAGTTGCTTTTCACCTAAGTCCAGCTCAAGGATTAGATAAGGTCAAGACCAGTTGACCACTTTTAGTACCTTTCAGCACACCTGCATGTCTGCTTATTTCTGTCACAGACATCAGCACATGGATCCAGAACCTAGTAAGTGAGGGGAACATCTGTAAGGTCACCACTGTTCTCTGGCACCGAAGGGCCTGGGACAGGGAGTCCCATCTCCCCCAGGGATCACTACAGAAGACTCAGCAGCCAAGGAATATGCAAACATGGATCAATGTTAAAGCTCACTTAACCTGAGTGAAACTCGGCTACAAAACACCTTGCACTAAGTAGCGAGACTTAGTACCACAGCCAAGAGAAGGCATATGCACCCTGGAGATGGGAACACCTCAGAGGAATAACCCAGTCTAAAAACATATCCATGAGAAGCTTCTGGGGAGAAAAAAAATCCCCAAAGCTGCTTTTCATGTATTTGGAATTTGTATGAATATATTCGGCATGAATATACAGTATCTACGCTTCAACTGGTTGAACACTTTTGAAGCTAGAGATGAAACTGTTTATGGAAATGAAAAGTGTAATTCTGGTATTTATACTCCAAAGAGTATGCAATACATCACAAATGTAACTCACAGAAGGTACCAGTTCATCTGAATTCTACAAAATTCCATTTGCAGAAATAGACCAGGAGAAGTGTTAGAAGCGACAGGTTGGGGAGCTACTTCTATTAAAAAAATCACAGACAGTTAAACCAGAATAAATTCTAACTCTAAAAAATTGCCCTTTAACGTGCGTTACCTCCAATCTCTGAAATATTGTACCTTCCATGCATTTCCAAAAGCATATACTATTCACAATATTTAACATTTGTATTCTGATTGCAATCAGCCTACTTTCAATAAAATAAATAATGTTACAGCTTGTTAACCTAGAACCATCAAACTCTCGCTTCCATTATCAATCAACATCACTTTTCTGCTGACTGCAACTCAATTAAAATCCAATTATTTGAATAACTGGATGGAAATTGCTATCATAAGATGTACCTTTTTATTAGGAACATTTTGTGTAGAAAATTGACAGCACAGGAATTATGACACTGTGGTTAAAAGATGTTTTGTAACCTGGGCTGGGAAAAGATATGCCGATAAATGTGGAGGAACAGAGTGTCACTTCTGGAGTAGGTATTTGATTCTAAAATTGAAACTTTAGGCTCAGAGCAGATCCAAAATTATTAGACTTTGCTAGCATTGCTATGAGCTTTAAAAAAGTTTGTCTTCCTATTCCTCAAAACTTGTTTTTACCTATGTTAAAAAAAAAAAAGAAAAAAGTATTTATGTATTCTTAGAGCATCTTACCACATTACCCACGGAATTAATTACAAAATATGCCAGTCAGCGATACCAATTCTTTAGGTAATCTCAATGTCAATTTTTTTCATTTATTTTATTTCTTATATTAACTGACACCAGGCAAGTAGCTATGTACCTTAACCTTGTCCTGCAAGAACTCAATGTCATTTGAAAAAAAAAGTCCTATGAGGAAACCCTCAAGTATAACTTGCTTCTTAGTTTTCTTTGATATTGCTCTTAGATGGAAAATAGCATCATACTATTTTCATTTCAGTATGTCAACTCCATAAACAAACAAAAAAATTGTTTAAAAATATCTAGTTGCAAAGTCTAATTTTACAAAACAGACTTAAAAGAATTAAATATTTCTATTTTTTCAGGTGTAGTTGTCTAGGACTTATTGGCACCTGGAAGTTAGGAACAAAAAAATCTCCTATCAAACATATTTCTTTAGTTGATCTCAGGTATCCTTATATCATAATATTTTAAAGCAAGTACAGGCTCTCCAGTGTATTTCTTTTCAATGTAATAGTATTGTCTTCTACCTTGCATCATAAAATCATATCATCTGAATTATACCTACTACAGTTTTAATAAATTTCTGCAGAGGTTGTTCACTGAAGATTACACAGAGGATTTAAAAGGAGCTATTAGATTACGATGACTTGCATTTGACAAAATAACTTGACAAAATAACACAGCAAGGAATGAAATGAGCCAAAAAATCAAGGATAAGAAAAAAGAAACATTGCAGATAAGCACAGTAATTCCAAAATGTGATTGATTCTAAAAGAAGCAACTCTGGATAGAATGTCATGTTCATATTACTTTTCCATTGTGATTACTCTTCTTGACTTTTGCTCCATATATTAGATTTTATATCTCTCCTGTCATTTTCTATGTGATTTCAGGCAGCACCCCTAAAATATTTTTAGCTGCTTTACAAACTAAAGTTGCATTAAGTGGTGAACACTGTTTATCACAGGTCCATGACAGTTTGCAAAATGCTGGAATCTGTCTCTTTCCTTGAAATGTACAATACTTTCACATACACACAGTCTACCTCTCTACAAAGCTAGAACAGGAATAAATGCTTATGGTCTTTTGGCTCTACACACCAGCAGTGCTTTTTAGGCAAGCTCTGAAAAATCTTCTTATAAAGAGAGTCTACAAAAAATGCCAGAATTCAAGTAATTCAGTTTTTTTCATGCAGACAATCCTTAAAAGTGAGATCATTTGTAAGATGTATGTTGAAATCAAAGCTACTTACCCTTTTTCTCAAGTTGTAGGTCAAAATGAGATTTCTAGAGAAGGAGTGGGAAAAGGCTGTGTAGAACTCCAGCACTTTCTGCAAAGCATCTCTCTTAATCACATGAAGATCACAGTAAGTCAAAGCCCTTACATTAGCACAGGACTGGGCGAGGGTAGACTCCTTCCAGAACACATCACCAAAAACGTCTCCTTTGCCTAAACAAAAATAACAGCATTTCTTTCAGTAACAGTACTATTTCCACCAAAAATATAAACCAACAAATATCTCATTTATACAATCAAGCTTCGTCTATTCCATGTGGTCAGAAAATAATTCTGCCTGAAAAAAATAACTTTGAAACATTTTGTTAATAACTTTTTCTGCTATCTTTTTGTTAATTACAATAGCCTAGCAAAATTTCATAAGAATAACTCATAATCAAAAAGTTTTTCATGTGACAAGTCCCCTTTAAATATCAATAAATATCAATTCTTTAAAAATTCTTTAAAAATCAAGAAAAGTGATTAATTTTTGGTTCATGTTCTCTTCTTATCCCTTTCAAAGAGATTAATTAAGATGAAATGCTTTTTCCCTTTCTTCTTTTAACTTTCACGCAAAGGATTTGATTCTTACATCTATGTCGTTGAGTTTTCTTAGTCTGGCTAACAATTACCCACTGTTATGTCAATAAAACCATCTTGTATAAGATGTCAGTGCAGTTACAGGCTGCAGTGAAATAGAGTCCAAAACAAGAAGAGTACAAGTTAGTTATCACCATCATAGCAATGGTCAAACATGAATGTTTAGCTGTTACACACTGGAAGAAAGAAAACAGCCACTTCCTTACAACCTTTCCACGTGCATGTCTTTGTGAGCTTGGGGCAGCCAGTGAAATCCCTGCTGTAGAATACTGCAATGAGGGCATTTGGGCCAGCCTGCGCCCTACAGTGCAGGGCAAGTTTACCAAAACACAGCTGAGGAACAGCTCCCCATAGGGATTTTGCTGGTTATAACCCAGATCAGGCTGGGCAAAAAAGGGAGTGTGTATAGAAAGTTACGAGCCCATTTACAAGAGTAATTTTTTTTTTCTTATTTTCCAACATACACTGCTGAGAGAATAAGAATATTATACTGTTCTTGTTTTGAAATGTGTTTTCCTCTTAAACTTCTGCTGTGTTATATAACCATTGCATATTTCCCTTAAATACAAACAACAAGGAAATACATTCACAATACCTATCAAGTTGAGGTAGGAATGGACCAGATGGTACCTTGTCTTATAGGTAATACTTTGCCCACAGCAATTCTTAAAGCCAAAGCATCAAAATAAATATTAGTTTATTGACTTCAACCAGGCCCTTTTAGGTTTCATTCCTTAAATAAATAGTCATGTATAAAAGGCTATATGAAAGTCAAGACAACTATCATGAGTATAGAGCTCAAGAAAACTTGTAAATTAAACCCAGAATTCCCATCTTAGCCCTTGAGCTGTACTTCCACCCTTACCTAATCTTTCCATTAGATGGTAAAAGTTTCTCTTTGAGGAGAAGCTATCAGCTTGATAGTAAGCTAGTGCAATAAGCTGTTGTTCACACTGATGTGTTCCCAGTCTTCCACAGAAGTCCTGTGCAGCCCACCTGCCATGGACCAGTTTAGTCCCTGATCACTTTGGAGGAGCATAGACTCCGTTTTAATTTTAAATGTGTACATACACTGAAACTACCCTTTCCATTAGTGCATTTTTTCCTCAAAAAATAGGCAAAGACACCATAATGATAACTCTTCTTTCACCTCAAGTCTCCTTACATAGGACAACACCAATATCTGGAGACACTACAAAGGTTGCACATCAATAAGCATGGTGGTAGTCCAATAGCCCAGTACAATAAGTGACTTTTCATTTTAATAGCAATGACTTTTCACAGTTTCAATTACTTAAATGTATGTTTTTTAAATAGGAACATCAAAAATGGCTCAAGAAAAATGCTTTGATGCACTTAAAGTAGATCCTCATCTGAAAAGCTTTTAGACAGACAAATACACAATATATTCCAAACTGAAGTGAAACCATTTTTATGCACCATAAAAACTGATATGCTTCACTGGGTAAAAATGGATTGTTTTCCTTTGGAATAAATCTGCTTTTACTCACAATCTTCCAAGCAATTAACCAAACAACTGTTTTAATTAACGCTCTGGAATCTATCAAGCATTGAAATGGGCCATCACTGACGAGCACTAGTTAGAGCTGGGAGTCCAAGCACAAGGGAGAGGAATTCTAGCTTTGTTCTAGGCATATTTCTTAACATTTCTAGACAAGTTTCCCTACCTTAAAATGAAAATAATCATTTTACTGTCCCACAGTAACATGAAGAATAATTAGTACAATGCAAGGACAAACAGCATGGTGCCGCTATGCCTACCTCAGAAGTCAGTTGTCTTGCTCTTTTTAGAATTTAATTCTGCTTTTCACAAAAAGACAAGCAGAATTAAAGTTGTGTCAGAAAGACACAACTGTGTTGTTCACCTGTGGCAGCAATGACACTTTCCCTTTGCTATTTGTAACTCCTCCCTCCCAAAAAACTCTCCCTCCTGCAGTTTTTTGCCACCCCAGGGAGCCACTTCGCATTAGCAGCAAGAACAGCACAGGAAGGAGCTACGTCTGCTGGGTGCCTACTGAGCCAAACCAGAGAAAAGCAACATATGAATCACAAACTAAGTCAGATCACAGAAGCCTCTGTTTGAAAGAAACAAACAAAAAAAACCCCAAAAAGTTGTACCTGATTTCATTAAAATATTTCCTTGAAGTTAACAATCAATGATTTAGTTGAAAATCAATCCTACATTATATTTTGGTTTCCAAAGCAAGGCACACATACAAACACCACACTGCTTTGATTCTGTCAATTGCATTCCCTAAATGATGCATATCAAAAGTATCAATTTTGATTGTCAGATTCTAAAAAAACCCATCTTTGATATTCATAGAAAAATGGGGCACGGGTTGGGCGGGGGAGGGTAAAGAGCAGTAGAAAGTCTTTATAGCGAGAAGGAATTAAAATTCCACCCAGGAGTACCTGCACTGGATTAGAACAATTGGCCTCTTATACATAGTAAGGAACTGCATACCATCTCCTTTTGTCTATATGTTCTCCACATAGTAAGATCAGTCACTCAGGAAAAAGGAACCAAAAAAAAATGGGGGGCAGATTAAGTGGGTGTTTTATCAAAACCATCTGTAATCAGAAAGCAAGAGGGGCAAGGAGATACTTCTAAGTGTGTCAGAAGGAGGTTGGCAAAGTCTAATGGCTGCATTAGGGAACCTGAGCCAAAAGCCTTTTTTTTACATATAACTCCAGGCTTTATATATTTCACCTTACCTCTGAAGAAAGATTAAAAAGCTAGAGAACTGCAGATGGCATTTGTTTGTCAGTACTTTGCATTTCTCATTCCCAGCATGCTGAATTCCAGACGTTTGCCAAGAACATTATCTGTCAATCACACTTAAAGTGGATGATCTAAGCTTTTACCATCAATCATTTATATTCCCTGCTGAATTTGTGGGCTGAGGACCTTTTCCACCATCAGCTCAGCATGTACTTGAAATCCAAATAGTTTTCTGCCTTTTATATTTGCTTGTTTGTTTTAATTATAATGACAAGTCCCAAAACAAAATTCTTAAATAGTGAATAATTATTTTATAAAACTTTCTGTTTTCATGTTTTTTCTTTCCCAATTTCTTTTCACATCAATTTTGCTATTTATGAAGCAAAAAGATGATTTCTCTGGTACCACTGTAAATTCAGCCTGAGTCAGGCATAAGGTCAAGCCACATTCACTCTGTCTCCTGAAAGCATCATCAGTAATGAAGATGTGGTTATTGCTGCTTAGTCAGGTGTTTTGCTGATTTTGTTTGAGAAAAGAACTACATTCTCATATTACAGCTATACTGTCTTGATACCACAAATCTTGGTTTTTTCACTCCTACAAAGCGGAAGCATTGAAGAGCTCTCAGACAGAAGATATTCCACTCCAAAAAAATCTGATTCATGTGTGGAATATGTGCTTGACTGATAACCTACTCAGTCCACTTTTGGGTTCTGGATGTCTGGAAGTTGTGGTGCAGTTTTGGTGTGATAGCAGCTGGGTGAGAAGATGAGGCCATAGATTCATATGCTGAAGGCCTTCCAAGTCAGTAAGGATTTTGAAGGGATTCATACAAATCCACAGGTTTTCAGTACATCGGACAAAATATTCATGTTAGAATCATCCCTGAATCAATAGTAATTGTTGTTACAGCAGCCAACACCAGAATCTAGGTTGGGTACCTTCCTGATCTGCCTTCATCTGCATGTTTAAATGATAGAATTGGGATCTGACATAGTCTCAGCAGATCCAAAGATAAGCTAAAATGACCAAACAGTGTTCGATGGTACCTCAGTGGCAATGCAGCACTAAGCATATCTTGGAAATCAGGTGTTAGCAAATACTGTTATCTGTGATGCTGCTCCACAGTGGCTGCCACAATGACTTTCCCAGCACAGCTCCCTGGAGCACCCACGCTGGCCTGTGCTCTCAGGATTTGTTTGCCACCTCCAAGCAGTGGGAGACACCAACTGCTATAAAGGCAAACGCTGATTCTCTCTGCATAGTGACTGCTCAGATAAAATGCTGTTGAAATTTAAAAACAAACAAAAAAATTGGCCTGATTTTTTCCTTTTTTCCTTCCTTCCTCCCTTCCCTCCCTCCCCGGAGGAAGAAGCTAGTCCCTGTCACAGGCTCCTACCAATTCTATTCAAGCATAATTCCACTAAGGACAGTGTATTTACCCCTGGTGTTCAAAGCCAGTGATGTGAGACTTGGGTCAAATTCCCTCTGTGATCACCACATGTTTATTTGGCTTCAAGTGAAAATCCTTCCCTCTACTCTCTTCCCTCATCACCTCCTAATCTAAGTAAGGCATGCAATTTAAATTTTACCATTTTACAAAGCAAAGAAAGGTTCAAGAAAATGAGAGGCATTAGAGCAAAAAGAATTTTTCCTCTTGGTGCATTGTTTTAAGGCAACGAATATCTGTCAGGCAATAAAAACAGAGCTACCATTTGGCACTGAGGTAGAGTATTCAGTATCTGTCCTACAGATAAATCGCACAACTTGACAGCCGCTGAATAGCCTGTAGTTTGGTCCTCCAACACAATACAGCTGCCAGGAGATG